AAAATTTACCAATATTCAACACCTTAGTTAATTGAGCTTTGAACTTTTTTTTTCATCAATAAACGTCAAAGAAGAAGAAAGAAAGTCAGACCCAAATTACATAATTAAAATGAACTTGTTTTACAATTGCTATAAAAAAAAAACTCGACTTCATAATACAGATAAGGTTTTACTCTAAAAGGTCATTGAGTTCCCAAGTTTGGGAGAATTGTAGGTTATGTTTGCGTAATTTGCTTTTAATTATTTTGGTAACATATAGCTAATTTTTGGTTTCTAGTTGCAAGTTGGGAAAAGATGCTAGACTAGTCTAGTATAATCTTCCCTAACAAACGAGGCCTAAATTCACATTACATGATCTAACCTTATGTGCAAATCCTCAAACATGATATTTCATGCCCAACTCATAACTTCAATTGAATGGTAATATAAAAAAGATTTATTAAAAAAAAAAGAAGAATTTTTATAAATCTATATAGAGAAAGGCAGATGAGTATAATAAAAGGAGCCAACTGCTCCCTTATTTATTTATTTATTTGGAGCCAAAGCCATAGCCAACCACATATGTGGCATGATAAGTGGATAAAGAAAGCAGACAGTGATCGAGAGAAACCTTAATGAAGACGGACAAGGGCTCTTATCAGTTGTCAGTTGTCAAGGCAGCGGCCTTTATTAATAATATTAATAATTAAATTAATTAAAATGAATCAAGCCAACCACCAATGAACTAAAATATTAGCGAGAAGAAGACGACCAAATCTGAGCCGTACATTGTCTTGATAAGGAAACAAAATGTTTGACAGAAGCAGGAGAATCATTCATATCCACCCACGCGTAGGACGAACCTTTCCTCTTCTGGTAAAAAGCCTGTTCCTTCTACCTTAAAATCCCTCGTAAAATATCTTATCATTATTATTTTGGTATCCCCTTTGTAACTTTCTTCTAGTAAATATCTTAAACTATATCCATATCTATCAATACCTTTCTTTTCTTTTGGTCCAATCAACCTATCAAATACTAAAAACAAACCATTGAATAATGATACCTCTTGTTTTCTTGTTTTCTTGTTTTCTTGTTTTTGGGTTTTTGTTTTTCGCTACATAATTGACGACGATAATGATATAATATATGTGCGCGCCTCGCATAATGATCTCTAGGACCTCCCATATTCAAATGTGTAGGGTACTACATCTTATATATGTTATTAATGTGGAAAAAATAAATTCATTTTCGTCGTCTCATAATTAAGTTGTTTTTATTTAACACTAACATTATATGTCTACTATTCATGTTGTGGGTGTGCAAGACCCAATCCAATCCGTCCAAATTCAATTCATTTTTAATTGATTTCGATGATTAGGCGGATTGAATTGGATCCCTAATTTCTATAATTGACATGATTGGATCAGATCACTAATTTGCTTATGAGGATCCAATCAAATCTAATCTAGTTAGTTCCATGCTTATTTTGCTCATTAGGTATTTTTCATTAAGAAAGTTATAAACATTTTAAGTAATTTGATGGAGTTATGTTTAATATATTTTAAAATTAAAATAAATTTCTCTAGTATTTCATTTATATTTTACATTTACATCTATTAAAATATTGGATTAAATTAAACTTGACAACAAATGTTTCATATTTCATTATGAAAACCGATCATCCAATCCAATATCACTTGGATCGGATCGGATTGGATTTAAACATCTAATGTGATCGAATTGGATTGAAAAAATTATAATCCAATCTATATTGAATCAGATGCGAATTGATAAAGTTGTATTGGTTTTGAACCGATGTAAACCCCTAATTCATGTTAATGGTCATGTACAAATCAACCATATTCCCCACCCCCCGCATGTTATGCTTGATTCGATTTCGATTAACGTTACTTTTATCGTATTTAAAATTGTAAATTTTAAAATAAAGAAATGTTCGTGTGATAGAATACGAGGCACATGAATATCACCAATTGTGAAAATACGTCACTCATGATATCATCGGAATTCTATTAAAATACTAAGCACACAATAACTTCCATAAATTAATAAGTAAAATCACTGATCCTTGTGCATTAGTGCAGCTGAAAACCAATTTATAATTTTTTTAAACAACAAAGGCTGGATATTGTTAACTTCCTATGATATTTTAATCACCAGAAAGTACAAGGTCAATGTAAAAAAAATATTGACAAACTATCCAATTAGGGAGAACCTTAAACACCAAACCCCCTAATCAAATATTAATGTAAGCAATAGATAGACATAGATGGCTTTTATTTATTTATATATAAATAAAATATAAATTATTTTGAAGTGTAGGGTCAATTAAAATTAAAATAATTGCATAATAATATATTAAAAAAATATTTGTGGTGCAAGTGGGGTGATGATTAAAGAAATTGAAAGAGTACCCAATTGGGGAAAGAAGTAGATAAGAAATAATTGCTTCTGGTGTATTTGTCGGCAAGTTTACGAGGTTTCAAGGTTCTGACTGACGTGGCTGCTTCCCCTCCTTTCGTTCCAATATGAAAATACTCATGCTTTTTCATCTATTTACAAGTGTACCTTCTATTTTTCTCACGTGTGACTAAACGTGGACGCAGCTTCTGCATATGTTTATAATTTTTTTTTTGGGTAGGTCCAATAATCCAAACATGAAATAATGCAAATACTGTTTTGACGTGTTTGGTCGGCCATTTTCCATAATATTTTAATAATATATGAGAATAAATATCAAGGCAGCATCTTTTCTCTCTTGCTTTTGTAAATAAGGAACTTATTTTTCCCAACAAACTTCACTATTTAGATGATTGATTTTGTGATTCACTTAAATCTATGAAAGCGACACAAGTTTTATATATATTTTTGTTCTTCTTTTTAGGAAATTATTACAAGTTATAATGTGTCTTCATTTATATATTTTTATATAAAAAAGTTCTTATGTTGTAATTATGTTTTTGGTACATCATCATTGACATGCATGTTCAAGTTATTTTGGCTAATTTAAATTATGAGAAAGTTAAATTTGAACTTGAGTGCAGAATGAAGAGAACATCCGATTTGACTAGGTTCATATTTTTCTTTTTCCATAACCTTATAATTTTCATCGTGGTTCTTGGAGAATCACAAAGATGAATTCTTTGCGTACGTTAATGTCTTATCCGAATAATGTTGATTATAAAATTAGCATCCTAAATTTAATTACATGTCAAACCAAATCTTTGACTTTGATCCTTTTACTTGATTCTTAACAATTAGAGCTTTTTAGAAGACAGTAAAGTCATAATTGTTCTTTGAACACGAACAAGCAAACATCACAACAATCATCGTGGATCGCATGAAAGAAGAAAAATAAAAAATAAAAAATAAAAAATAAAAAATAAAAAATAAAAAATAAAAAAGAATAATCCTTCTAGTACCTAGTTAAGTGGATTCTTAGAGTTGATGTGTCACATTTTGCACCAAAGTGAAAGTAGGATTGTGGGGAACCACATGTTCCATTTGTTGCACGCAATACTTAGCTGCACAACAATCATCGTGGATCGCATGAAAGAAGAAAAAATAAAAATAAAAAATAAAAAATAAAAAAGAATAATCCTTCTAGTACCTAGTTAAGTGGATGATGTGTCACATTTTGCACCAAAGTGAAAGTAGGATTGTGGGGAACCACATGTTCCATTTGTTGCACGCAATACTTAGCTGTAAAATTATAATAATAATGTGCTCGAATAGCTTTGCTTAGATTATTGGTTTTGGCCACAAGGCATAAAGACTTTGGAGAACCAAATTCCAAACAATAAAATAAATTTGCTTCTAGGCTTTTCTTTTTTGTTAGGAAAGATTTCCTTCATTTGAGGGATTTTTTTTTTTGGTCGAAACTTCATTTGAGGGATTAGATCTCCAACTAACAATGCCACATTTCTCCTATCTCCAAGATCTAAATTGTAGCAGAGTTGTAAAGCCAACCCCATTGAAAAACCCTTTAAAAAGGCTACTTGTAGCTTTTATCAATGATAGAGTTTGAATTGCTAGAGAGGGGGATTCGAACTCGGGTACAAACTTGGGGACCACCTACGCTCTACCCAAATTGATTAGGCTCATGTATGCTGCTAGATCCGTTTAAGCATTATTTTTCTTTTGATAGATGATAAATAAGAAAAACATATATATTTTAAATTAGGTTCAACAATTTAGGGATCAAATTCCACTTGTTAAGGAAAATAACTTTCCTTTTTAACGCATTGATTGGTTTCCTTTAAATCTTTATTTATGTCCTTTTTTTTTTTGCCTGGCTGGCGGAGCCTTCCATTAGTTTCTAACGTGGTTCTTTACAAGGGTCTTGATAAGAAAATGAGCCATCTTTGATTTTATAGAAATTGTAGTAAAGTTGAAACAGAGGAAGGTCAAGGAAATTGCAAAGGAAATAGTTAGTTAGAGCCCCAAGAGAGGCAAAGAATAATTAACAATCATAAAAGCATTGGTGTGGACCATTAAGATAATAATGAAGAGTAGAAAATGACGGATTCAAGCAAAGAATTTCAATTCGGAATTTGTTAAACCATGTTTGATTTTGCAGGAGGAGACTGACCAAATTGATCTGGTAGAAAGTGATCAGATGAAAACATGAAATTGACAGAGCAGATGACTCAAATGCTATTGGTTCTCCACATAATTCAGACTTCACACACTCACTAGCGATGATGAGCACGTCTTTGTCAAACCCATTATGGTTTACAAAAGAAAGAAATGGAAGAGGAAATCATTTAACTTGGTCTTTAAATCTGGCAAATTTTTATTCCTACGATTAGTTTTCAAGCTTGTTCTCTAAGGTTTCCTTTCCGCTTCCGCTAAATTACCTAAATACTCAAATCACCCATATCCTACATCAACTAATTTGCTGATTTGTCTTGGTGTGTGACTTTATTGTTTGGAAAAGAAAAGAAAAAAATTCTGCCAAAGTGGTCTTAGTAAGATTCCATTTTTACCATTTCTGGAGCAAGAGAGCTCTAAGTTCAGTATGGCACGTACAAGGGTCATACAACTAAATACAGAAAGCAATATATAATATCAGATTCCAGGTACAAAGAGAACCCACAGCAGAGTTTGCATCGAAATCAAATCTTTTAAGTCCTATTGACAAATATACACGCAGGGTGACACAACATCAGGCTCTAACACTAAATGTAAGATCTAATTTATGGCGAACCAATGGCATATTCTGCAGATCAGCACCTCAAGTATATCACACCACCACCTTTTCTTCTGCATTGCTGTCTTGGTTCCTGGTTAGCTATACCGTCTATCTGTTCTTTCTTCACAACTGCAACTATCTTCTAACAAGACCACAAAACATATAACCTTGCAGTATAAGGAAATCGTCCGGGTCAAATGCAAATGTCCCAAAAGGGCATGGCTTCTCCATCGGATAGGAATGTCTCTTGAAATCATTGTTGGGCTTACAAGCACGGATTCGAAAAGAAACGAACCACATCTGCAAAATGAGGGAACTCCCACGGTGGAGGCGTTTTTGGCTTTACAGCTTTGTAAAATCACACCTTTTTTTTCTTTTTACTTTTTCCGGCTGTAATAAACCCCCCCACCTGAATAACTATGATATCTATGACGTGTTCCACCACCTCTACCACTAGTTCCTTCCCAATTGCTGCCACGGCCAGCAACTCTGTTGCCCCCACTCTGCATATAGTTCAAAGTTTGGTTCCCCAATCCATTAAGCTCCTCCTCTTCTCTATCATTATACTCCAAAACCAGCCTCTTGATGTCTTGTTTCTCTTCAAGCTCTGCTGCTTCTTTCTGTTTCGTACTCTGTATAAGCGAGCAATCCCGTGGGATGTACATCTGTTTTGTTTGTTGTTTGTTACCACGCTTCACAAGAACTTTCACCTGCACCTCCTTGCTTCCTCCAGACTCTTCATCCAAAGCCTCATCTCCACTTTCCCCTCCAACCCCTCTTCCATGATGATCCTTGATGGAACCCTCAAACACATTCATTGGTATCATCATATTTAATGTAGGTCGGCCTCGCAACTCTAGCCTGCGTTGCTCCATGCTTTCCTGTGTTCAGAAATTTTAGAATGGGTGAAAAACTGTCTTATTTGTAAACCTTCAGCATCATAACGTCATGTGCAAAATCAGTGCCAAACCAACAGGGAAAATAAGAATGCAAGATTTAGCGACCATGAATCCATTGATTTAGAATGTGCTATCTAAGCATAACAAACATAAATAAAAACATTGTGCAAGAGCATACACAACAATAATCTACATCTTACCTGCATAACAGCTTTGAGATCTAGCTCAAAATTTGCTTCTTCCTGAGGATCCAGCTCTGCAACCTTCTGTCTGACATGGACTTCATCATCCTCATCAGATGCAGGTCCACCCCCATCATCATCCTCCTCTTCACTGTCAGATCCATCACCATGATTCTCTTCATCTAATTCTTCTTCGTCATGTCCATCTGGATCAATGGTGCCACTTCCTGAATCACTGTCACTATCTCCATGGTCTCCATGCCTTACACCATTTTCCTCAGTACCATTCACAGACTTTTTGTTGGATGTGGTCCTCCTTGAAGGCTTTTCAGTGTCAGAATGCTTCTCATTATTGGCCTTGTCAGTGGAGACAGTACGATCATGCTCCTCAAGTTCTACTAGAGCTGCATTTACTTCATCAATGGATGAGTATCGGGTCATGTTGGGGCGTAGTTCTGCAAATAAGTCCTGCAAGTGCTTTACTACATGAGTATAGAAAGATAAAGAGTAATATTTATCTTGTTTACATTACAGATATTATTGATTTTGGAATAGCGTGTTTCAATTAAAGATACAGAACAGTATGTAAGAGAAGAAAAATAGATAAGAGGTCAGATTACCTTAGAATCCTAAACTATTTATTCCATATTTTTCATTAGCTAAAGCAGAAAATAAAATGGTTATTCTATACTTTCACGCCTCAACTAAAGGGGTAGAGGGTGGGGGTGGAGTTGAATAATATGAGCCACATGACTGACCTGTATGTCAAATTCAACATCCAGTGGGAGTACTCCTTTGCTTAGTATATATCTCTGGAAGTGCATCAAGAATCGATCAAGCTTCCTCTTGGAAGAGCCTCGGTCAAAGTAGTGGCCACAGGTCTCCAGAAGAGTAATAACCATCCTAATGCGGAAACAATCTTCTGGTGGATCCAGTACATCTTGCTGCTATCACAGAAAAAGAAAGTATGACCAAATAAAGAAGATTCTCATATATCTAGGAGATTTAAATAACTTCAGATTTTATAGGAAAAGAGAGGAAATGATTAAAAAAAGAGAGGCCATTTTAGCTATGCCTTAAATCAAAAGATCGCATTTATAGTTAGAAAACATCCACTGATGCAAGTATTTGTGCACATAAATAGTATTGGGTAGCCCTTATTTAAGAACCAACCAGTTCAATATCCTCGGGGCCACCAACCAGTTAATAAGTTCGTACATTACAATATCATATGTATGAAAGCCGGAGGACAAATACGCATTTAAAAATCATAAACTATACAATCATGAATAAACATGAGTAACGACCAATGTGTTATATACTTCTTGCAGATTTCATTTTTTAGTACCCAAACCTTCACAGTATAATAACAGACACGCTTGCTATTATAGAATTAAAATTTTAATATTGGAAAGATGTCCAGTGGTACTGCAATATTTCAAAAAATGCATTTAATTAATACACCTCTACTTTTAGTATATAGTTATCAAGACAAACCAAGCATTGAATATAAATGCACTGTGGTATGATTAAATTAGTTTAAAAAAATACTAAGATAAAGACTTATCATATCTGAACTTTCAAACAAACACAGCGTTAAATGAAAAGAAATATGCAGTACGATGCTTTCATCTGGAGAAAGCCTAAGCCACGCTTTGTCAGAAAAGCCTAAGCAATATTCTCAAGTACTATCAATTATATCAGAGATGTTTATGGAAATAAACAAATAAAATTCATACCTCTTGTGTGCCATGGCCAAAGACAAGAATCAAGTAAAGAGTCTCAAAAATAACAGAAGAATCTACATGCTCATAGTTGTATAGCTCTCCTAAGAATCGCATATGGGCAATCCGTCTTTGCTGCATCCCATACTCATTTAATTCTAGGCCAAGCCTGATCTCCTCTAAAACCTGAAAGTAAGGATACAGCAGTGAGAATCACTGCGTAGACAAATTAGAAATATTTGAATTTGCACACACAAGCACAGTTCATCTCTAAAAAATGTTAATGCATATTCATTTCTTCTCTCTCTTTTTCTATTGGTATTGGGGGAGGGGGCGGGGTGGGGGTTGATGATGCAAATGGTTTAAAGTTTATACGCCGAGACAAATGGTCCAATTTGTTTTTAAATACTTTAAATAGGAAGTTAAAAACTATTTATGGTCTGTGTCATGGATTACGTATGCTAACAATTGGATTGCTAAAAACTCTCCCCCACACCTCTTTTTCTTTCTCCTTTATCCTTTCCCTAGAATCATTGTTGTACTAGCAGTAACGATTACTATTTGAATAAAATATGAGGTGGACAAATCATGAAATTGTATATTAAACCTCAAGGTTTGGTTGACTTTAAATTTGGTATATTATGCCAATACTAATGAGTATCTAACAGCATATCACTTACTGTCAGATAAAACTTATTATGGCGACCAGCTCACCACTCAATAAAAAAGAAAAGGTACAAAAGAAAGAGTCTGAATGATCTTGATCTTAACTAAATGATCAATTAGTGATTTTTTTATCTGTATTCTAGGCAGTAGCAAGAGGATATCCCTTCCCTTTCCCTAAACCCACTTCCCACACTTTGAGCCTCTGGGGGTTGACAAATCTAATGGAGATACTACTGCACTGCAAGAGGCAGCCATTATGAGTAAGATCATATCTACCATGGAAAATAAAATCCAACAAAAAGATTTTTGGAATGAAAGAAATGACCTCGTCAACAACAGATACAGCAAATTGATCATGGTAGCGACTCAGACCAGCAGTCAGCGAAGCAATCAAGTGGATCTGGCCATACTTCCCTTTGTGAACCTTCATAAAGCATTTTAAAAGATATGGCTCACATTCACCCCATGGTAGTTTACGCAGTTGCCTGAGCACATGCTCTATTGTAGACTTATCGAGATCTGAGAATAGCAACTTCCTTATATACTGAAAAAGACAATATATAAACAAAAGGTTAATTCTTGTTGGGTATATCAAAATAAATTTTGAAAAGGAAGAGTTTAACCTAGAAAATGATTTACACCTGATGCAATGGAGGACGGACTTTAGTGACTCGTGCGGATCTTTCAGGCGGTTTGCACAGGTAGTAAGCATTTTCAACAAGGGTGCTGTGCCGAGGATCTAAATTTTTTACATTCTTCAAACGCATTAATATTTCCAACATGTTAGCCATCCGCACGGTAGTTTCAGGAGACCGATACAGAAAACGCCCGCAAGTCTCAAGAAGATTGCAAGCAACATCAATGTTATGATGAGTGAAATCATCTAAACAAGCCTGGCAATAAGATAGCATTAAACTTCTAAGTAAACAGCTCACAAATTAAATGCCCCAACAAAAATGAAAATTGTAATCTTAAATCTCAATAACAGCATGGACAACACTTCAACCCATCTTTTAAGTCCTGATTCACTACATAGAAAGTTACATTTAAATAGACAAGTTATGAAAATGAGAGCAGAAAAGCTGACTTCAGCCCATTTCATGGACTCTCCTGCCACCAAAAGGTAAAAAAATGGATACAAATTTACAAAATACACGTTGAAATCTGTAGGCAAAGCATATAATAATATTTCCAGCAACCCCAACAGAGGCGTATAAAAAGGTAAAAGAAAGAAAAGGTAAGGAAAACCCTTCTCCAAGCACAAGCACAAGCACAGCCCAGAGAAAGTACTGACAAACATATTACAGCTGATATACAAGATACTAAAGATATTATCAGTAATGCACAAATTTAGTAGAACCTATGCATCAATTCTGTTCCATGCATATTACCTTCAAACAACTAAAGACAAGACCAGCTGGTGCGACTTTAAACTTGCAGAGTTCTCCAATAAATCTAATGTTCCTAATCTTTGTTTCAATGTTCATTTGATCCTGCAGAAAATTACAATTCGATATGAAAATCATGAACTTCTCAAAATGAAAGTGATTCCTATAGAACAACTAACCGTTCCTATTTTCAACAAAACTCATTGCATGCAAAACTGACCTTTTTATTAATTAAGAAGTTGAACTCTTCTTCCAGCATTGCAAGGAGCATGGAAGATACATCCTTCATACAAGTTGACAGTGTGGCAACCATGCGTGAATAGTAAGGTAGTAGCTCCAATGATGTCCTGGGAACATTAAACACTGCCCTCACAAGCTTTTTCCGATTTGCTTTTGAATTTAAATAACAAAACTCTACCTGAAAAAATACAAAATATCTTCAATGTGAATCATAACGACAGTTAACCAAATGAGAGAGAGAGAGAGAGAGAGAGAGAGAGAGAGAGAGAAGGAGAACAGTAGTAAAGCTCAGACAGGTATAATTACAGTCAACTGATCAATAAGATCACGGCTCACGCAACCAGGAAGCCTCTGCAGTAAAGCATCCAAATTTGTCCCTTCGATGCTTTTAAGTTTCTCTTTCTCGTTCTCCCCTTTTCTATCGCCTTTCTCTTTGTCCAGATCTTTAATCTTCTCCTTATCCTTTTCTTCCTTGTCCTTCCCTTTCTCTATGCTTTTGCCCTCCTGTAAAGCACCAACATCTGCAGATGCCTCCCCAGTATCTTCTGTAGTCTGTTGACTTTGGTCTGATTCAAGTGTGGGCTCCTTTATAATGAAAATTAAAAAATGTTCATCTGAGTAGATAAATACAAGCATAAATTGTTACAAGACTAAACATGAATCTTATTCTTGCAAAGAGAGCAGATTTCCCATCATATATATTGTCCGAAAGATGTGACTTAGGAAGGATTGGTCAACAAAATATGAACCGAAGACTGAGGGCATGTAACCTTAAGAGTGTTAAATGGATGCTTCTTAAAACAAGGATTGAGGATCTAACTGAAGCCGCAAAATCTTATGAAACTGTGAAAACAGGAGATGAATCAGGAGAAAGATTGCAGAAATATATATCTAGCTCTAAAGGACCCACTTCAGTGAAACAAACACATTCATGACAAGAGTCTAATTCCCACTATTTCAGCATGCTGAGGAAATCCTAATTAGTTAAGCTGGTCGGTCCAGAACCAAGCAGAACAATCTTTGTTACAGGGGAAGTATCGATCATTAATGTTGGAAATAAGTAGTGAAACAAATACTGACATTCAACATTTAGTTGGGAGTAACGCAGAGTTTCGGCGCTAATGTGAAAATGTTATGTGATCACTAAGAGAGGAAGAGAGGAAGGCGCAGGAGAGACCAGCTATCTTTGCTACAGTTATATATCTAACTCGGGATATAAGAAGAGCCTGTACAGAAAATGCAGAGATTTGATTCCTTACAGTTGGTTGTTCTTGAGCCTTTGCAGATTGATCATTGCTTTTATCCGCTTCTCCCAATAATACCGCCGGAACAAACGCTCTGGTAAGAACATACAGATAACAACTTACTACATTTCAGGTCAATTAACTATGAGTATTATAACGACTGACAAACGAATATCATATACAAGAGTTTGTTTTTTCCTCATTTGGCTAGTAAAAGATAAATCTCATTCAACTGAAGCAAACCTAAGATCTGGTAAGCACTCATAGAAAGCCCTCGTATCTTCATCATCCCATATGGCTTCAAGTACAGAAGAGTCCTTTCCAGCAGCTGGAGATGAAGCATCCTCTCCACTAGTAACCCTAGTTGTATGACCATCCTCTGGCATTACTGGAGGCTGCATATCAAGTGCTTCTGCTAAACTGTGAGAAAAAATAATTTGTACCATAAGTGGGCCAAAAACAAGTAATTAGAGACTAATAATCAATAAAATTATTTAGTAAAATGGAAGGTTTAGGGAAATCTAGACCAAAGCTAACAACAGTTGAACAGGGCGGAATACTGGAAGCATTGTTTACCTATAGAAGTAAAAAAAAATAAAAAATCTAAAGACAAGAAAACCCCATTAGAAGTATTTGGCGGTCACTGTGACTCAAATTGAAGAAAGCAGAGCATCTGACGAAAGTACACTCCAGATGTTGCAATTAGATTCTTTCTTTTTCAGCTGTGTATATGTTTTCACCTATGTTGCTGTTAAATTGCTTCGGTATTCTCTTTGGTCTTAGTTTGCTCCTATTGTTTTCTTGTTATGGGTAGAGGATTTTTAAGTTTAAATAGCAAGCACCTAGCTAATGCATACTTTTGAGAGGTTTAAGAAAGGTAGTTACTTGTCCAATAAATAAAATCAACCTTCCTCTATGATTTTATGACAAAATTAAATATACTTGTATTTTCTGATGCATTTGATCCTATGTTCTTGACATTATTTTTTGAGAACCATGCAGGTTTTTGCTTTATGATAATTATATGAAAGAGGGGGAAGAGCAGTGATCATACAAGATCAATACAGTTAAGTTGAGCTCTCATAATTAAAGTATGCAAAGTTTAAAAACAGGATCCTGGATCCAATGTAACATAGAAGACTACGCTGTTACGAGAAGGCATCCTAACATTGCCAAACCGAACAGACCTGGTCTCCAGCAGATTTCTACACACCAATAATGAGAGCAAAAAAGTAAAGCAACTTACGATGAGACATTGCGGTACAATTGTTCATAAGATTTCCGCAGTTTCTCATATGAAGAGACATTTTCATCACTGAGCTCTCCTTTAGCATTAAGGATTTTAGAATTTTCGTGCTCCATTTGGCGAAGTGACTAACAGTATCAAGAAAATGCATTAATTACAACCAGAACCAGTATTCCACTATTGAGTTAAGGAAAGAGATATCATTAGCAAGAAATTAAATTAGAAGCTCTGTCCAACAAAGGTCAAGCAGATGTATAACAAGCAGGTATAATAAGGTGCAAAATCAGGACCTCACCCCCTACACCCAGAAAGAAAGAGAGAAAAGTAAAACTATCTTAAGCAAGGCCATAGAACTCTTACAGTATGCTCGGATTGAAGTAGTTCTGCTGCAGCATCATAATATGTTTGAAATGCCTTCCTGAAGAATTTCTTATGCTCTGTTGTGATATTAAGGCCCTTGAAAAACTGTGGCAAAATGTCAGGATAGGCACTGTAGAATAGAAGGTAGCAAGTACTCTTGAAACAGATTAAACACCAATCAAATGAATCAATTAATAAACATATTCACACTAATATATGGGATTCTCGTCAACATGTAGCCACCAAATGAGAAGTAACATCACATGGTAATTACAAAAGATCACACCCCGTGCCTATATGATGCCACAAAAAACAGTTTAATGGAAAGCCATACAAGGCAAGCAGAAAAATAGTGAAATGTGAAAGATGTCCTAAATAATGAAACAAACCAAAGAGATTCATACCTCTTCGTGAATTTCTGGCCCAGAGAGTGGAAGGTTAATAAACATTCTTCCCTGCCGAGCAAAACTAGCAAGAAGAGTCAAATTTGTCTGAGTAGTATCCCGATCCTTTAAGTGTTCTCCACTGGTAAGATCCTTAATGATATTCACAAAAATACCACCATCTTCTATGACTCCAACAAAGAAAAGTTCCAAAAGGAGTTTCAAAGTGCTTCGCTTCTTCATGGCCCTCAGGTTCTTGTCCATGTCTAAGTCATCCCCAGACTTTCCGGGAAAGAAGATTTTCAAAAGACCTTGAAGTAGGCTTGGGGAGAAGTCTTTGTATCTTTGATGAAGCAGAGAGCAGATCTTTGACAAAAAGATGAGTGTTAGAAAAGTGTAAAACACATTGGTGTTACCCATAAATACTGCATTCAATAATGTCACTTATGCCATATAAAATAGACAGAAGAAGCTTGCAGGTATGCATACTGGCTCAAACATACAGCACATTTGGCCCAAGTGTATCTTTCTCTTTTCTCTATGAAAATTTAATTACTGCAAAAGCCACCAGCATTACATACTAGCTGAAAATTGTCACCATTTTTTTTTTCCAGTAGAGACCTATATGATAAAGCATCCCACTAGATTTTTTTTCCAGGGCGAAAATATCACACTAGTTAACATCAGCAAACCATCAACTATATTCAGAATTTGTTCTAAATATTTGAATAGGAAAAATACCAAATACCCAGAGATATCTAAATGGATGCATATGAAACAACAGAATGAGAAGCAGGAACCTTGAAAACCAATACAAATAACTGCCTCGAATTGTTGAAGTCGTGAGGCAGCATATCTCCTATTCAAAGACCAAAAAACTAGACACAACAAAGTGACAAGATAGCTCAGCATCCATTACAGCAGAAATAGTACCAAGCATTTGACTATCATACAGCATGTCATTTCAGCGAGTGCCATCGTCTATTCTTGAATATGATAAGAAGATCCAGATCAGCATTTTGGAACCCACAAATACAAAAGTTCATAACTTGAAGTTTATGTAAGTCTAGAAATGTAAGATCTGGAAATAATCATATTTTTTCTCAAGCCAACTCACGGTGCAATAGCATTAGCTAATCATTCACCATAGAAAATCCAGACTAATATGTTGTAAGTAGAATCATGGATAAATAACCCAAAGAACTTGATTAACTAAAACTACTAATTAAATAATGGAAATGGGGAAAAACAAAGATAAGTGCTTTATAAATTTCAACTCAAATCCATAACAGCAACCTGAACTGCTGCTTGAATGTCCGATGATCTAAGCTTGGCATCACAAATAGCAGTAACAGCTTCACTGACAAATTTGCTTAGGTTGACACCTCTCAAGTCATCCATCAGCCCTTCCCGCTGCTCTTCATTTATCTGCTTCAGTTTTTTAATAACCGCTGTGTTGCGCTTAATGCTAGAATCCAGTGTCCTAAGAAACCCTGTGTCTGGAATTCAGAACAAACTGTCTTATTTTCCAGTTCATGCAGCAATCATACAAGTCAACTAGCTTTCAATATGGTATTTCTTTTGTTAGCCTTGTGATTATTTTGAAACAAAATATAAAAGAGATGAAAAAATAAACAAGTCAGCACAAGAAAACTTAAAAGATAAAGGCACGAAAAAGTATCAATACTTCATAGATTATTAGATATGTAATGTAGAGTATGACTTAGGATTGGACTAAGCAGCTAAAAAAAATCCATGTGGAGGACCTCAAGTAGTTCAAAAAAGGAATATGTTGTCGGCCTCAATTATTTCTAGGATCAAGTCTTAGTATAATTTAGATGCAGCAAAGGAGAACCTTGGAAAAAGTACCAGTCATCATTCCTCTATTTGCGTTTTGTCATTAGGCATGATGCTTTTGCAAGTTTACACAACTTTCTTTCCATATACGAACGTTTTCACTCATTTAATAAATTAAAAATTAGTTAATCATTCATTTGCATACAAAATACAAGAATACTGTTATCATCTGACCAGGCCTCTCAGGGTTCAAATTGCTTTGACGAAGAGCCATCTTTGCCTCAATTGATTTCTTGATTTCCTCAAGCCGAGCAGCAGCTTCCTGCAAAAAGAAGCAATAACTACCCTACCAAAATCACTTCTAAAAGACATACAAGTTACCAAGAATGCGCACAAGCAACCAAACTGTAAACTTCATTTTCAACTCTTCATGTACTATATTATTTTAACAAGTGTTCTGCCTTCACTCAACTGAGAAACAATATAATATACTTATCGAAGTACAATAGGATCTCAAACCACAACTTATAGGCCAAGTCTAAGAAACTCCTCTTATTTCAAATTAAGTTTGGGACTTATTAGTTGCTCACAAAGTTCCATCTCATACATGCTCCAAGATTCGGCAACAAAAAGAACAATGAACAAATAACTAAGGATTTCTAAAAGTGACAGATGCAGTCACATACCTCATCATCTTGCTTCCCATGAGGTTCACCCCCAGCACGGGATTCCTCCTCATGGTGATCCATCTCCCTACTTGTATTGACTGACAGAAACCTACATAAAAGGGCATTGCATGGTTAATTAACACCCAAAACATCCAAGAAAAATACCATATATGGTGAAGAACTTATTATTATTATTTTAAAAAAACCTTGAAAAACCTAACAGAACTGCAATAAAATAAATCCAGATCACCAAATTGCTTTATTTAACTTCCAAACCACCGTAATCTCATCGGTGCAAAATTTCACTTCAGTTTCACCACAGAAGCTACTAATATTTGAGAAGAAGAACCGCTTTTTTCCTCACCATGCAACTTGAAATTATAGTATCTGGACTGGTCAATACACCCAGAAGCCCCGTTTCCCCAAAAACCCAAAAGCGAAACTGATGTGGTGTTGGCCCTAATGATCCTCAGATATACGGTTACAAACTTAAAAACCACATATACGTGCATAGGCACACAGTGGGAACTTATTTATAAGATACCACAAATGACAAACAATCCAATTGGCATGTAAAAATGGAAACTACAAAAACCCAGAAAAAAGAAAAGAAAAAAAACAAGAAGTTATCAAATAATAACTCACTCTTCGATTTAAGGCTTCAGAAACAAGCAGAGCAAAACATTATCATCTAATATAAGCTCCCTAAAATTCAAATAAACTACCATAACATGCTCTAGCTTTGGTCATAAGAATTCCAACCAAAATGAGCACGAACCCTATTACAGTAACAAGATTTTGATTCACAAATGAAGTTTACAAGGCCCTGTACGGCAACTGCATTCGCTGCCGAGATCTCACTCACGAAAAAACAGGAATATGCATACACACGCCTCTCTGTGTGTGAAAGCGAGAGAGAAATAGGGTTACCTGATCGAGATTAAGCAGCGACGTGATGAAGATTGCCGAGAAAGAGAGGAATACAGTGAGTTCAGAGAGAGAGAGAGAGAGAGAGAGAGAGGGGCTAAGGCCAATGGTTTAGAGCAATGGGTATGAGTTGCAACGAGACGATGATCCAAATGGAAGAACCGACTGGTATCGTTGTGTGTGTGTTCTAGGCTCGGACTCCGATCACGGGTTTGCCCGTTTTAGACCACTTAAGAAATGGGTTGGGCCAAATTTTCAGTCCAATCGTTCAATAGTTCTTTCGTTTTGGTCCGAAGTAGTCCACTTTTTTTTTTTGGTCAAGAGTCCGAAGTAGTCCAATAGTTCTTTTGTTGTTTACATTTTTTTCTTGGTCGAACTTTTTTTTTAATAATTAACTAGCCTCTCCGCAAGCGCTTCTGCGCCTGCGAGAGGCTTTTTTTTAAAAAAATTAAATTTTATTTTAGAATTAAAAAAGATAATGTGTAGTTGTTTTCCATAAAAATAGGATTCATTATCCGATTTTTCTTTTAATTTTAATTTTTTAAAATATGAAAAAGTGTGAATTTACCATATTATCCTCATTTAATTAATAATTTCAATTCTTAATGTTTGTATTAACCAAGGGCATTTATGGTATTTTGAATGTTTTACAATTCTCTGCCTTTTGCTTTATATATATAGATATAAGTGATAGTCTAAATTACAATATAAGGGGTATAAATGTGTCATGGGGCTCGAAATTGATATCACTGATATTCAAGTCAAAGTCTTTTTTCACTGAGCTAGACCCCCGTTAACTTTCTTGGTCAACAATAGTTCTATCTTGTTCCTATCTTTTTTCCAGCCATATTGCATGTGTAATGTGTTTTTTCGGGGATTAATATTAAGTTGTCAATTATTTGGATGGAAGGATATGATTAAATAATTGATGCCAACAGGTTTCGTTTCTATATATGCAAAATTTTCAATTATTCACGTGTGAACTTCAATGTAACAATTTTTGTTAACAAGTGCCGAATAATACACATACATTTTTTATTCGTATTTATCTCGTTATGTATTTACTAACTATGCTTTTGTAGCCATGTGCACTGGGACAAAAAGAAATTATAAGTCTTTCACCCCAACACTTTTGAACCCAAAATATGAGAATTTGGGTATTGTTGTTGTTGGAGATCAGAAGTTTTTATTAGTCAGCCTCCCCAAATTTTTTGGGTGAGAAATTACCTTATTACTGATCAAATGTGAGGTCTAGATGTCCTAGAAATGAAGTTGGTTTTTGATCACTAAAAACGACTAACTAATTTACTATAATAATTATAAAGTTTTGACTATGATTAGGACTCTTTTAATTAACCACTCCACTAACTACCAGTACCAAGGGCACTCCATCGTTCTAGAAACCATGGCCATCAACTTCCTTCCAGCACAAAAATAACCCTAAAAAACCAAACTCAATTCTCACAAGTTTAATCTCTACCATCCATTTCAACCAGTGGAACGTTATTGTAACCAAAACAGCTATATATAAAAACACCATCCAATTTTAAGTCACATTCAGAAAATAATCAAGGACAGCCCCTGTTGAAAACTTGAGACAACCCCCCCACCTTCTTTTTTTAAATTTCTCCTTGACCTTCAACCTAGAAAAAACACAATTTCTTAAACCAACTTAACATGGATCCCTTGATCAAGAACATGTTCGTCAAGGTCCTAGCAATGCTGCTAGTGGCTCTTGTCATATGTGCTCCATCGACACAAGCAGGCCACCACAAGAAATTGCATCTTACCGGGCACGACAAGGTTAGCAGTTTCGAATCCGAAAAACAGACGTTCAAGGTTGGGGAGCCACTCTACAGGGTCAGGGGCAAGAACAATGCTGAGACCTTAATACCTGCGTACAGAGTTGCAGGGCTGTATCGGGTTAGAGAATGATCAAAACCCTAATTCACGTCCATTCATGAAGGAACATTGCAATATGTGCCAAAGCAATTTTTAGATATGGGAGCTAAATCTTGAATTTATTTTAGTATGTGCTGTAATAAATTTATGATGGGTATACTACGATTATCATAATAAAGTTGGCAAAATTCTTTATTGTTTCACAAAGAAGATGTTTACATGACCAACCGCATATTTCACTCACATATGTAACTTGTGTCACACGTATCGTACCATATAATACCATGTTACTGAATAAAACTAGACATATTTAGCATTAATCATAACTTTAAGAGATCAAATAAACAGAAGCATCTGATGAATTGCTCTAGATCTTATTCAGGATTCATAAGATCTAGGCAAATGCAAACCTTTCTTCCTCTCAAGGTCAACCTAAACAACCCTACTTTATCTGCAATGTCTAATAATGGTTCAACTTTGCCCAACTTTTATTGCATTGTTTTTAGACTGTTTTGGGGGGGGGACCCCAACACGAAGAAGACAATTGAATTGAATGGAAATGGCCAAAAAAGAAGCAAAGCTTCCAACTGGCCACAGGTAATCTCTGTCAAGATCAAGGTCTTAAATATCGGAGGTATCGGAAATATTGGAAGTCAAAAAACACGGAAATATCGCAGGAAATATCGGGATATTATCGGTATCGGAAAAAATTGAATAAAAACCACGGAAATTGTAAGAAAA